GGGGAAAAAAAAAAAAAAAAAAAAAAAAAAAAAAAAAAAATAAAATAAACATCAGCAATTACCAGATTATTAACTATGACATTCCCATGAAATACCTAAAGTATTTTTTAAAATATATTTTTATTGATTTCAGAGAGGAAGAGAGATAGAAACATTAATGATTAGAGAGAATCACCGATTGGCTGCCTCCTGCACACCCCCCACTGGGGACTGAGCCCACAACCTGGGCATGTGCCTTTGACCGGAATCAAATCCGGGACCCTTTAGTCCGCAGGCTGATGCTCTATCCACTGAGCCAAACCAGCCACAGCTAAAGTATTTTTATTAGAGCCTAAGTATTGTGATTAGTCTGCACTCCAAAGACAAACATATATTCCTCTTCTTGCTCAAAAAATACATATATATAGCTGTTCCTTTACAAATGATGCAAAGAAAAACTTCAGTGTTAAAGTGGTTAGATTGTCAAATTATGAAAGAATGAAGTCTGAAATGTGTTTTATTCAGAAAAAGAGAAGTATGAAATTAAAAAAAACACAACTTACCCAATATTTCTAGTGTTAAATAAAGAAGAGAACTCTGTGTGTTTTCGGCATAATTTTCCAGTTCGATATTACGAAACTTACCCAATATTTCTAGTGTTAAATAAAGAAGAGAACTCTGTGTGTTTTCGGCGTAATTTTCCAGTTCCTGGATATTACGATATGCTTTGTCATCCAAATTTTTTTCCTATAATCAAACAAAAGGCAAATCAAGTTTGCTGAATTATCAAAATTTATAAAGACACGATTTTTTGCCCCAAAGAACTGAATAATAAAAATATTAAGTATATACTGTTTATACAAAGTAAAAGAAGATTAAATAAAATTAAGATATGAAAGTTCTACACAATCTTACAAATCACCCCTCAAAATAAATACCTCAGGATTAATCTCAATGCACAAATCACCATGAACATAGGTTGGCTTAATTTTTAATTCCTTCAAAAGCCCAAGTTATCACGAAAAACTGACTTTACTGAGCTCTTAGACATTATCTTTTTAATCTTAGCATCCCCCCAAAGATAACAAAATAATACTTTTCCCATTTTGCAGATGAAGAAACTGAGTCCCGGACACATTAAGTAATATTCCTAAGGTCACATTCTATATAATAAAACCCTAATATGCAAATAGACAACACGGTGGAATGACCGGTTGCTCTGATGCACACTGACCAGCAGGGGGCAGATGCTCAACACAGGAGCTGCCCCCTGGTGGTCAGCACACTCCCACAAGGGGAGCACCACTCAGCCAGAAGCCGGGCTCGCTGTTCCTTAGTGCTGCCGCGGAGGCAGGAGAGGCTCCCGCCACTGCCACTGTGCTCGCCAGCCATGAGCACAGAGCGGGCCTAAGCTGGCAGGTGGACATCCCCAGAGAGGTCCCGGACTGCGAGAGGGCGCAGGCCAGGCTGAGGAACCCTCCTCAGTGCAAGGGCCTCTAGTAGCTAATAAATGGTAGAGATAGGATTCAAACCACACATTTCAACTGTCAAGCCCATGCTCTCAATAAGGAAAAGGTGCCTAGGAAAAGAAAGGACTTCCCATTTATTTGCTGCTATAGTCTTTACAATGATATGAGCAGTTATATGCACAGGATAAAATAACATTGGACCACTGTCAATTGAGATGGAGTAACTATTTCATCTCTTCTGCATGCATAGTTTAGACAAATGTAAAAAAAAAAAAAGTAAAAGTAAAAGAAAAAGAAAAAGAGACTCATAACCCAGTCTCTCTACTCCCCCCCCCAAAATTTTCTATAATAATAAGAGTGTAATATGTTAATTAAACCGAACAACCTTCTGGACAACCACGCTATGACATCCACTGGCGCCAGGCCAGCCAAGGCGGGTGCGATGCGATTGGTCGGGGGCTCAGCCATCGCCCCATGATCGCCCCGCAGAGGGAGACCCAGGCCACCAGCTCACCCCACAGAGGGAGCCCAGGCCACTGACCAGCGGGCTGTGGTGGGTGGGCGGGGCCTCCCTCTGTGATGAAGCCCGGGTCCCGGGTGCCAGAGGGACCCGGTGCCAGCAGCTGGGAGAAGGAAGGCCTACTCTTGCACGAATTTCGTGCACTGGGCCTTTAGTGGTCAATAAAGTAACAGGATTGATGAACTGAGCACAACTCTATTCACTCTATTCAAGAAACAAAAAAATGTAAATCCTAGTAAAAGCTAGCCACTTTTATAATAACACATTAACAAAGACTCTGTTTTCAAGGTGATACACCCTTCCTCTTTTTAATCAGAAAAAATTGACACCAGCAATGATTCCAGGGGAAAAGAAATATGTCCAAATCTTTTATTTTTTTAAAAATGACATAACTCATATACCATAAAATTTATCTTTTTTAAAATATATTAGGTCAGTGGTTTTTAGTATATTCACCAAGTTACGCAACTATCACCACTACCCAATTCCGGAATTTGTTGGTTTTTTTTTGTGTTTTTTTTTTTGTAATCCTCACCTGAGGATATTTTTCCACTTATTTTTACAGAGAGACAGAGAGAGACACATCGACTGGTTGTTCCCTGCACAGGCCCCAACCAGGGCTGGGGACTGAGCCTGCAACCAAGGTACGAGCCCTTGACTAGAATCGAACCTGGGACCCTTCAGTCTGTGGGCCGAGGTTCTATTCACTGAGCCAAACCAGCTACGGTGAATCCCGGAATGTTTTCATCACCAAAAAGAAATCCATATCCAGGAAGCAGTCACTTCCCATTTCCCTTCCCCTCATCTCCTGACAAGCCACGAATCTACCTTCTGTTCCCATGGATTTGTCTGTTCTGGACATTTTATAAAAACACAATGATACAATATGTGGCTTTTTGTATCTGGCTTCTTTTTAATTAGCAGGTTACTACGGTTCATACAAGTCTAAGCTTCTATCAGTACTTCATTCATTTTAATTGAAGAAATTATAAACAATATTCCATTGTATGGATATACCATATTTCGTTTATTCATTCATTGATAGACTATGAGTTGTTCCCATTTTTGGACTATGCTGCTATAAACATTGTATACAAGTTTTGTGTGGACATATATTCTCATTTCTCTTGGTATATAACCTAGGAGTAAAATGCTGGGTCTATAGTAAACTCTGTTTAATTTTTGAAAAACTGTTTTTCCAAAGCAGCTGTACCATTTTACATTCCATGAGGAATGTATGAAGGATTCCAATTTCTCCACATTCTCACCAATATCTTTTTTATTATAATCTACATAATCTACATATGAAGCAGTATCTCATTGTGTTTTTTATTTACGTTTCCCTAATGAAAACATACTGAACATATCTTCAGGTGCTTATTGGTCATTGGTATATCTTCTTAAAGAATGTTTACTCAGATCCTTTGCCTATTTTTAAATTGGATTATCTGTCTTTTTTAGTGTTTAGCTCTAAGAATTCTTTACATATTCTAGATACTAGTCTCTTATCAGATATATAACTGGCAAATACTTTTTCCCATTCTATGAACTGTCTTTTAACTTCCTTAAATTTTTTAATTTTGATAAAGTCCAATTACCAGGTATATATTTTATTTCTTGTGCTTTTGTTATCATATCTAAGAAATCACTGCCCATCCTAAAGTCACAAAAACTTATGCCTATGTTTTCTCCTAAGAGTTTTACAATTGTCTTACATTTAGGTTTTTGATCCATTTTGAATAAGTTTTTGTATATGGTGTGAGGTAGGAGTCCAAATTCATTCTTTTGCATGTGGCTATCCAGTTGTCCCAACAACATTTGTTGAAACAAATATTTTCCCCACTGAATTATCTTCACACTCTTGTCAAAAATCAACTGACTATAAATATATGGGTTTACTGTTGGACTCTCAATTCTATTCTATTGATCTATATGTCTATTCTATATAAATACCACAGTTTGATTCCTGTAACTTTGTAGTTAAGTTTTGAAATCAAGAAATATGAGTCCTCGAACTTTGTTCTCCTTTTTCAACATTGTTTTGGTGATTCTGGGTCCCTTGCATTTGCATAAGAACTTTAGGATCAGCTTGTCAATTTCTGTAAAAAAGGCAGCTGGAATTTTTATAGGCACTGCATTGACTCTATGAGAGGAGATTGAGCACAGTCCTTTACTTTTAAATATTTCTCCCTACAAATGCTAAGTGTTATTATTCCATTAAACAGGAAAGCTATCTCTGCCTTAAGTTCTCCAATTTTCTTAATGTCATAAAACCAGGACATCTGAAAAAATGATTTTCTTAGTGCTAATTAACTCTATAGGTCAACTGAGCAATTTTTCTTAATGTTGAAACCACCATCTCATTTTGGCTTATATTATTACTACAGGCCTGGTGCACTAATTCGTGCACAGGTGGGGTCCCTCTGGATGGCCTGTAGGGATTGGGCCAAAACCCACAACCCAACGCCGCCTGCAGCTCCTACTTGCTGCTCCCACTTATGCCAGCCCCACTGTGCCTGCCGCAAGCTTGTGCCCAATCAGTCCGGATAGGGAGAGGCTCGCAGCACTCGCCAGCCATGAGCCCTGAGTCTGGCACCCTCCCAAGGAGAGTGGCCTGCAGATCGGGCTGAAACCGGCTCTCCAACACTCCCTGAGGGGTCTCAGATTGCAAGAGGGCGCAGGCCAGGCTAAGGGGCCCTACCAGTGCATGAACGGGCCGGGGAGGGACAGCGGGAGGGCCCCGGGGCATGTCCGGCCCATCTCGCTTAGTCCCAATCGGCTGGACCCCAGCAGTAAGCTAACCTACCAGTTGGAGCATCTGCCCCCTGGTGGTCAGTGCACATCATAGCAACTGGTCGACCAGTCGACTGTCTGCCCCCTGGTGGTCAGTGCACGTCATAGCGACTGGTCAAGCAGTTGACTGCCTGCCACTTGGTGGTCAGTTCATGTCATAGTGAGCGGTTGAGCAGCCTTAGCATATCATTAGCATATTTCGCTTTGATTGGTTGTTCAGTTGTTCTGCTGTTCGGTCTATTTGCATATTACCCTTTTATTATATAGGATTACTATAGCTATGGTTATTCATAGATTATATTCACATAAAGTTAAGTAAACTTGCACTTTCATGGCAACCGTACATTATAAACATCAGGCCAGTGAGGACACTGAGCCAACAATGTATCAGAAAGATTGTACAGGTTAGCCCAGGTCATTGAGCAATTTGTGGGAACTAGAATAGAACTCAGTTCTAAGAACTTAGCTTAGGATTCCATTCACTAGAACCATCAAACTTTCCTTATTCCCTCTACTCTTTGGACAGAGATCCAAGTACTGGGTTGACTACTCAAATTTTGATGAAAAATTAGTTTAAAGATTAAAGAGGAAGAAAAATTTAAGACTTGAGCAATTTCAACTTACTCTTTCATCAATGATTTTCATAAGCCATCTTTTAGTCAGATTATGTCTTTTGACAGCCTAAAAAAAAGAAGAGTATTATAAGTTTTTAGAAAGCACTAGAAATGACTTCTGCAGACCTGAATAAAAATAAACAAACCAAATACAAAACTAGGAAAGGGAATATTTGTAATAACTCACCACCAAATAAATAGCTGTGTTAAAGCAATACCAGGAAAAAAGAAAATGTCCCTAGAAAATATTTCCAAGTAAAGATAATATATCTAAAACTTTCCCACTAGTCTGTATTTTTTATTATACTATTAGTAGTTCAATGATTCCACTTTCAAACAAACACAACAATTAAATACCCAAGCTTCTGTTATTGATGCACCCTGATGTCCATGCCTGCTTATTACATGCAAACTTCTTTCCATAGGATAAAGATTCTAATGAATAAAAATAACCACTTATCCAAAAGGAAAAGAGTAACTAAAACTCCAAAGGGAATAATCTGCAAGGCACAGTATTACTTTAGCAAGTAAAGACACTCTAGTAGAAAAGACCACACCTGTGCCCACATCTCAGTCTCTAAAAGCATTTCTCCCAAAGAAACAGGGATCCAAAGAAATGAGCAATTTCCAGAGTTGGGCAAGGGAGAGTTAATATGATCCCAGGGATCCAAAGAAACGAGCAATTTCCAGAGTTGGTCAAGGGAGAGTTAATATGATCCCTAGAGTATCTTATTGTTCCAGAAAATAGAAAATGCTCAAAAAAATTATGGGAGACAGTTTGAAAGGGTTTCCCACTGTCCAAATCTGGGACTATTTGAACACCAAAATAATTAAGTTTAGTAATGAACTATAAACTACTGGAAAAAAAATAGAATTTCATGAGTTTATAACAATAATTAATAGACAAATAAATAAATATAGGAGAGTGAGAGATCTTGGTTACTGCCAACTGGTAAATGTGCTCGGAGTATTAGAATTGAAAAATGAGCATTTTGCAATCATAATAGTAAAGACTGAATCAGACAAGAGCCATCAATGAATGCTATGTTTCAGGGGAAATTAATGAGGAATAGAATATTTGCATTGTCTTATAGTTGCCAGGAGAATTATAATTATACAGTGGGAAAACCAGGCAACATCTTGACTGGATGATGAACATTAACAATGCCAATAAGGTACAGATGTACAAAATATGCCTTCAGATATGACACCCTAAGAAGACAACATCGTCTATGCAGTATTATGGCCAAGAATGCACAACCTGAGAAAACATCAGATGAATCCAAAATGAGTAATGTTCTATTAAAAAAAATTGGAGGGGCTATCCTCTTCGAAAAGGTAATGTCATAGAAAAGAAAGGAAGGCTGTGGAAATGTTCCAGATTAAAATAGGCTTAAGAGATAAGACAAATATTACCTGACCTTAGACTGAATCCTATACTGGAGGGAAAAAACACTACAGTGGACATTATTGGGTCAACTGACAAAACTGGAATATAAATGGAAAATTAGATAAAAAGTGTTATATCAAAGTTAAATTTGCCAGTCTTAACTGTTTTGGTTATATAATAGAATGTCCCTATTCTTAGGAAATACTCACTAAAGTATTTAAGGATAAAGGGCCACGATGTATATAACTTATACTAAAAAAATGATTCAGAAAAAAAACGAGAGAGAGAACAAGCTCATGCACCCATGTGAGTGAGCAGTACAAATGATTAACAGATGGGATAAAATGTTTTATTTTTAAAAAAATATATATTTTATTGATTTTTTACAGAGAGGAAGGGAGAGAGATAGAGAGTTAGAAACATCGATGAGAGAGAAACATCGATCAGCTGCCTCCTGCACACCCCCTACTGGAGATGTGCCCGCAACCAAGGTACATGCCCTTGACCGGGATCGAACCTGGGACCCTTCAGTCCACTGAGCCAAACCGGTTACGGCGGGATAAAACGTTTTAAATGTTAACAATAGGTAAATCTGGGTAAAGGGTATAGAGGTGTTCTTATACTATTTTTTATTTGGAAACCTTTCTGAAAGTTTGATAAGTTTTAAAAACATTGTTTTCTTGTCAAATCAACACTAAATAAGATATATTTTCACTATAGTAATAGTAGTAAAACATAAAGTCTTAGGAATATCCCATACTTCAACTAAGACTCTAAGATGTCATTGACAACTAAATGTCAAGGCTAGCTAGCATGCTCATCAATACACATGTGACAAAGGTGAAAGTATGGAAACCAGAGCTCACTTTGCTGGCAGAAACCTAAAAGAAGCTAACAGGGCTGCACAAAGTTGGCTCCCAAGTATCCTCAGCACTGCTGCTGTTACATAGCAGGACTCCCACTAGCCCCCCTCCACAAGCCCAGGAACCAGCGGGGTTCCTCAGTCCTTACAGAGTCCTGCTCTTGTTTTATTTGGTACGTGTCTGAGTGGGGCAGGGTACATCTGATCTTTGTAACCATACCATCAAACACCATTCCTGGAAGATAAAAGTACTAAATATTTAACCACGAGAAGTCATACTCCTATTTTCTCAAGGATGAAGTTATAATGGCTGCACTTCCTTGACCACAAAATAGAGTTCTTCTATCTCATTCTGAGGGAAATCCGAGATCAAGGTAAACAACAAATTATTTGTAGGAAGCTGAAAACCAGTTGAATAAAGCATTAAAACTTTGAAAACAGAAGTCGAACAGAATAAAGACCTTGGCTATAAACATAAATTTAAACTACAGAGAAATGGAGAAACCCGTATGAAATGTCTGAGAAATTAGATATTCAACTACTTTGTACTCTAAAAGCACCAATGAAAGAGTGCAGCAGGAATGTGCCCTCAGACAACACAGTCACTGTTTCTCTACTTATCTCTTAAGGAACCTGAGACTCTTCGAAGAACCAATGGGAGGTTTTACTGGACAGTGGTAATATAAGCATATGCTCCTGCAGAATGAGGAGGATAAAGAACATACAAGGAGGGCAAATGCTCTGAACACTACCTGCTCCTTTCAAATATTCGTATTAACCTTCAGCACTGGTCATATAAAAGAGCTGGCCAGCCCTGGCTGGTTTGGCTCAGTGGATGAAGCGTCGGCCTGCGGACCAGGGGGTCCCGGGTTCGATTCCGGTCAAGGGCATGTACCTTGGTTGTGGGCACATCCCCAGTGGGAGGTGTGCAGGGGGCAGCTGATCGATGTTTCTCTCTCATCGAAGTTTCTGACTCTCTATCCCTCTCCCTTCCTCTCTGTAAAAAACCAATAAAATATATATATATATAAAAAAAGAGCTGGCCAACATTAATCATTAACATTTAAGCTGTTATTATAAAATTGGACAAATTGGCACACATTTAAACATTCTGTAATTCAGATATGTCTTCTGTTTAAGAAAAGCCAAAGCAAGATAAATTTGTGTTAAAGGAATTTTGACTCTTCATGATATTTCCTGACTAAGGCCAGAACTTTCAATGCAAGTCTTAGTATAAATCTCTACTGCAGTGAGGTTTGTGTATAAAATAAACAGCACCAGCCGGTTTGCCTGTAGATTCTGGTCAAGGGCTCATGCCCGAGTTGCTGGCTCGATCCCCAGTAGAGGGTGTGCAGCCAATCAATGATTCTCTCTCATCATTGATGTTTCTATCTCTCTCTCCCTCTCCCTTCCTCTCTGAAATCAATAAATATGAATTTAAATAATAATAATAATAATAATAATCAACAGAAAGTTTCTGGATTTTAGAGATACTTTTCTCTAAACTGCGTCACCTAGGTTGAAGTTACTGAAGTGGGATGAATAGAGGTCAACAACTAATCTAATACTCACAGCTTCCCATCCACTTTTTCTTCTCAGGCCCTGCTGGAGGGGCCTGGCTTTCCATCCTTACTGGGGCTCTGTGAAGTCAATCTGGGGCCCAGAAACAGGGTCTGCCTCTGCTGGCGCACAGACCTGAGAAGAGGTGTACCACTGTCAGGTCTGTGAGTGGCTGCTGGCACAGAAACTGCCTTTCGGCACTCATCATGTTACAGTGGGGACACAGATCAGTGACAAGAGCACCTAATTCCCTTCCTCTGTTCTTAATTGAGCATATTTCTAAACTGTGCATAGCTGTGTATGAATGAGGGTTCCATACAGCTGCTTTAATGCAAAACTATTATATACATCTATCTATACAAATAATACTCTAGCCCTTCGGTTTCCATTCTCTAATACCTAAAATTCATCAACAAATAGGCAATTCTATCAAACTAGAAAGGCAGTTTTAGATTTGTGTCTAGACAATATTGAGAGCACGTCTCCCTTCAGAGGTAGAACAGAAAATTTACCTGCCATTGCTTCAAATGTGTAGGGTTTAAATTCTGCAACCAAATATGTGGAAAATAATTGATAACAAAAAGTGACCAGATCCCTCTTTTTTCCTTTAATAAAGAAATACATCAAAAATCTGTGCAACAGTAAATACATTCTTTTTTATTTTTTAAATTAAAAAAAAAAATCTGTGCAAATTATTAGTGTATAATTTTAAATTCTTCTCTCCAAACTAACATGTACAGGGACATTACATGAGCCTAACAATCTTTTTAGGACAGACTGCCCATTACTATTATCCAAATTGTATGCATCAAAAATATGCTCAAATAAAATTCTTACAATTTATTTTTTACCTTCCACAGTTCAATGGCCACAGGCTGATGTGGTGGATTGTCACTGTATATGTCATCCACAGTTTTCTTCCAAAACTGCATTCGCATCAGTCCAATTGTTTTCTCAGAAACTGAATCCTTAATCTATAAATAGGGTTTTAAAACTTTAATAAATGCACTGTTGACAGTCTAAAAAATCAATATTTATGACTGCATAATCACATAATTCAGCCAAAAACTATATACATTTGTTTTAATTTTTCCTTAAAGTTAAACTGTTGTCATTATGAGTTTTCTAAGTAAAAGCTACAAATTACTTGGTGCTTATTCAAAAATATTTTTGAAAATAGAAGAGATTCTAGAAAACAACTGCAAGAAAAAACAAAGAGGAGGAGGAGTTTAGTTTAAAAGAAATTTAAGAATAGATCAACCAGTCTTTACATGTAAACCTTATTGAATCCTGATTTGAAGAGAGAAATTGGAAAATCTGAACACCAGATGTTTAATGACATTAAGAAGTTACTATTAAGTTTTTAATGTATGATGATGGCATTATGGTTATTTCTAAGTGAGTTATCTTTTAGAGATACATACTGAAATGTTGACAGATAGAAAAGTTTATCTGAAACGTACTTCAAAATAACCTGGAAGCAGAAGGATCTGCAAAATAGTATGGGTGAGGGGTGAGGTTGACTATAAAGGGAATTTTTTGGTTGCTGGAATTGTTTTCTCATGACTATGGTGATGAGTACATGACTATGCATTTTTCAAAACCTATAGAACTGTACACCACAAAAAGTATTACTGTATGGACATTTTAAATAAACTCATTCATTCACTAAGTAATTATTTTACAGTCTCCTTCACTCACTACTAATTAAGAATGGCCTTGTGAGATTCAGGCAAGAAGCACCAATGCATGCTAAATATAGGGGGTAAATATTTAAAAACTGAGATATAATTGATATGTAACAGTACATTAGTTTCAGGTATACAATGTAATCTGATATATGTATATATTGTGAAGTAATCACCACAATAAGTGTAGTTAATATCCATCAGTACACAGTTATAAACCTTCTTTTTCTTGTGATTAGAACGTTTAAGATCTACTCTTAGTAACTTTCAACATACAATACAGTATTACTAGCTATAGTCATCATGCTGTACATTACACCCCCAGGACTTACTCATTTATAACAAAGCTTGTACCTTTTGACCACCCATTTCACCCATATCCCAGCCCTGTCGCTGGCAACCATCAACCTGGTCTCTGTATCTGAGTTTGGGGGCTTTGTTTTCTTTTGTCCTGCTTTAGATTCCATATATGAGACCATACGGTATTTGACTTTCTTTGTCTGATTATTTCACTTATATTTCTTTATTGTTCAGCATTAAACACGTTATATCACCATTTTTGCAAATAATTTTAAAGGAATTTTAATACCAGCCTGAGCCAGTTCCACATTGAAGGCTCTCAGTGCAAAAGCAGAGCTTCTGGATTCTGTAGGAAGCAGCAGGGAGCATAAATAGCCTTCATAATCTCGTTTCCTGTAACAGATAGGCAAAAAAAAAAAAAAAAAAAAAAAAAAAAAAGACAGTTACTTTTGACTTTCAAACTGCACACAAAAAAATACTAACCAGAATTACCTGAAAATAATGAGGCTTCAATTCAAAAAAGGCCTGAAATTTCTTATATTCTATACCTGTTTCTCTACAGTTACTAAAAATGTATCTGCCTACAATCCCAGACCAGTTAAAAATAAGAAATAACTAATCTCCATTAATTTATTTTGCCTTATATAGTACTTATAATTTTAGTGGTTTCAGAATCACTTTGTAAGAATTCACATGAGCTACCAAAGTAGTTCCAGCAAGTCCTGGTATGAACTCGAAGTTTTTAATACATAGATAAATAAACAGATAAGACATAAAGACAGAAAACAATAGAGGGGTGTGGGGGTGCTCGCATGTATGCATACCCACTAGCACATACTGTACTTGTTTCCTAGCAATATCTGCTGAGTGAGCCTAGAAGCAATGCTACTCCTCCCACCTTGGCCGCAGTATCAGCAAACACACCCGACACCTAGATCTTGGTTTCTAAATACCTTTCTCCACTGAAAAAACAAACAAAACAAACGCTAGGAATCCTTGGAGGATAGACTGACTCCAGGACTGGGGTGGGGAAAATACAAGATAAGCCTGAAACACCTTCTGGAGCAGAAAGAAATGTTCAAAGAATGAAGGCGTTTGTCAAAAGAACAAAGAAATGGACATGATCAAGTTCACTCTGGCCACATCTGGGACAATTTGAACATAAAGAAATAATGACAGTTAACAGACTGTAATAGGACCCTATGAGCCTGTATCATAAATGAAGGACTAAATAGCCCTGGCTGGTGTGGCTCAGCGGTTACAAGCATCAGCCTAGGCACAGGAGGGTTGTGGGCTCAATTCCAGGTCAAGGGCATGTACTACCTGGGTTGCAGGTTCGATCCCCGGTCCCAGTCAGGGCACGTGCAGGAGGCAACCAATAGATGTGTCTCTCTCACATCGAAGTTTCTCTCTCTCCCTCTCCCCCTCCCTCCTTCCCTCCCTTCCACTCTTTCAAGAAATCAATGGGAAAAATATCCTTAGGTGAGGTTTAACAACAACAAAAAAGAATAAATAGGAAGGGAAGAAAACACTTAACAACCAGTACAACATCAACTGATAAACCCAGAAAACATGTTATTTTTTTTAATCTTCATTTGATAACTATCAAATAACTGATTCAAGCAAAAAAATCAATAAGTGTCTAGAAATGTTAAATAGATGAAAGCTGGATAGAAATGGGATACTTACATAGTACTGAACTCCTCACTTACTAATCAGCATTCTTTTTTAAAATATATTTTATTGATTTTTTTACAGAGAGGAAGGGAGAGGCATAGAGTTAGAAACTTCGATCAGCTGCCTCCTGCACGCCCCCTACTGGGGATGTGCCCGCAACCAAGGTACATGCGCTTGACCGGAATCGAACCTGGGACCCTTCAGTCCGCAGGCCCACGCTCTATCCACTGAGCCAAACCGTTTAGGGCCTAATTAGCATTCTTATTCATTAAACTTATAGGGGAGAAACCTGAAAGACACCTTCTCAACCAAGGAATAAAAAGTTCACATCCCAGGACTAAGATAAATCAATGTCGTGTGCTTCTTGACAGGATGCCGAGAAAAGCACAGCAGGACTTGTCTAACACACCGGCCAGAAATGCATAAATCAGGAGGAAGCATTAAGTAAACCCAAATTGAGGGGTTCTATGAATTAGCCGGCCTATTCGCTTTTAAAAACGCCAAGCTCAGAGAGAAAGCCGGAGAGAGGGTGGGGTGAGAGGTCACCCAAAGGCCTCGCGTGCATGCACATCAGCATGACCCACGGACACGGACACGGACACAGACACGGGGCGGTGGGTGCTTGTCCTGGGGGCGGTGTCAATCGCGGTAAAAGGAGACACATGTAATACTTTAAACAATAAAAAACAAAAATAAAATTGACATGAACCTAAAAACAAAAACAAAGGTCAAGCTCATGAAAGACAAGCAAAGACTGAGAACCGGTTCCAGGTTGGAAAAAACGAAAGAGATATAACAACGAAAGGTAGCACGTGATCCCAAATGTAACGAAGGACATAATAAGAATCACCAGCAAAATTCACACCGATTCTATGGGTTAGAATCAGTGGTTCTCAACCTTCTGGCCCTTTAAATACAGTTCCTCATGTTGTGACCCAACCATAAGATTATTTTCGTTGCTACTTCATAACTGTAATGTTGCCACTGTTATGAATCGTAATCTAAACATCTGGTATGCAGGATGGTCTTAGGCGACCCCTGTGAAAGGGTCGTTCGACCGCCAAAGGGGTCGCGACCCACAGGTTGAGAACCGCTGGTTGGATGGCCACATCGGGTCCATTTCAATGTCCTAACTTTGACAGCTGCACGGTGACCACATGGGAGAGAACCCTGTGCCCCTAAAAGTTCCCGG